TAATTACAACAACTGCCAGAATGCTTTGACAACTTGTTTTTATAAAATTGAGATACATCCATAAATTTCCGCGTATTTCACAAAAGATTAGAAAGATATAGGATATCAATTTGAATTCTTATATAAATCTGTACTATCGGAAGTGCAATAATGGTACATTTCAGATATCGTATGATTAGTTTATGAGTATTGATTATCAATGTTAATTCGTAAATATGTAGTGATGTAATACTGCACGTGCAATGATATACACTATGCCTAGCGTACGATTAGTTTATGAGTATCAATAGAAATTCCTATATATCTGACGTCATATGCAAGCCCAGTATGTGAAAAAAAGGTATGGAAAAAATTCATCGTCGGTGTGTCGGTAATGGACTGAAAAAATCAAAGGATAAGTCCACAGAGCATTCGTATTACAAAGAACGCTGAGCCTGCGCGGTCATTACAATGATTATAATCATATAATATTAATGATGACGATGATAATAACAATGATGAATATATAATATATAGTATACATTGGACGTGTAAGATATACATTTGATCGCACTATCAAATTAGGAGCCGAATTATTGCTCATTCATCATACCATAAATCACCTTTTTTAAAATAGCTATATGCTCTGTAATGTAAAACAACAGGCGTTTTTGTCCTCTCGCAGCCGTTATGAGGCTCGTTACCAGTTTTTCCATAGCAGACTTTGCTTTATGGTCACGTGACCTTGAAAATTACCTGGAATGTAATTGATGGTTGGTGACACTGACTTCATAATTTAAAGTACTCTTGTATCATTGTAAGGACTATAATGTCAAAAGTGATTGAGCAATGCAAGCAAACAAATAAACAAAACAAGCGAGTCTATYGTTTTAAAGACAATCTTCATTAAGCACCTACATAAATAATATTCCGGGACATAAAAGGTGATACCTTTWTCATGAACGTTGTTTTCAAAAACTTTAAAATGGATAAATATAAGCCAAGCCTACATTATATGCACAATATGCATAGTATAAAAACTGACACCTTACCATAAATCAACAGTGCAAAAAGGTCGCAGATGTGTTGTGCAAKACTTCAATTAAGATGTCCTATATTTGGAACCATATCTTTGTTAATCCAAGACAATATCTAGGGATCAAGTTAATACTCGTTTTTGATATCGATATGTTGTCCCATGGGAATTCCTTTATTCAAGTATGAAAAAATCAATAAAGT